TCGGCTAGATGTTGACAAACCTCCGTTTCGCACAAGTTGGGAGGGCTGAAACTCTGCAAGCACTACAATCCCAACTAGTGTGTTTTGTCGATTTTGTCAGTCCGCAGTATCCGAGACGCCCAGTTGACGTGGAAAAAGAAGCCCACTCTTTTCTTTAATTGAATATTTTCCAGGGTTTAAATCCTCCAAACATGAACTAGGTCCTCCAGTAGAGAGGTTAGAATAAGGGTACCCTTTTTTTATGTAGTCTATTTTAGTAGGGGAACTCCGAAAACCAAGACAAAAAGGTGAGAAAGGGCACTACTGGGGGACCTAGTGAAGGAACAAGGACACCAACATTTGGCGTGCGAGTGGTGAATCGGGCCTCATCTTTGCTCCTCGCGCTGAAGGCGGAAAAGCGCGGCGTTTCAGATTTCGAGCCAGGCTGCGATGCATGGCGACTCCACTTCAGCGTTGCTCAAAAAAAACAGACTCGGCTCCCTTTAAGGGGATGGTGTAGGACAGCAAAAGGAAACCGCCCTGAAAGAGCAACCCGATTTTGAGAAGCCACCACCTTCAAGTCAGCCAGCTGCATGTGACAATTTCGTAACGAGCCCTTTGCATGTGGTTTCCTTTCAGCTTCTAGCCTAGGTCCTCCAGTAGAGAGGTTGGAATAAGGGTACCCTTTTTTCTGTAGTCTATTTTAGTAGGGAAACCCTCCCCCCAAAAAAGAAACGGTAAGAGGGCCATCCACCTAGTAGCATATTTTTCCGTTCGGTATGATTCCGTATTCCGCTTCCTCTTTTCCTGGAAGAGTTCCACCGGTGACCTTTGGGACACATCGATGGTTCTAGTGTCATCTATGCCTGACCGAACTAACCTATGAAAGGAATACCTATGGTTGAGCTCCGTTCCATTTCTTTTAGTGGGCTGGCTTCTTTCAAGCCCAAACCAACCGGTTTTGGAATGCACTCCACCCCCTTCAAAATGAAGGTTTGAGGAATCAAAGAGTGGCACTTTCTGGGGGCCCGCCAAAAACCCGTGGAAATGAATCAAAAGGCCGGACATTTGCGCCTATGGCTGTGACAGTTCCCCGAAACCTTCCAGGATTGTGATGGCTCAGCCAAACATTGGCACCAAAGGGTTTGGAAAACGAGACAACCCATCCGCCGCTACTTTCCTCCAGCGAAATGAAGCAAACATGGTTTCCATTCATTTCCCCTGCCAAGCCTTGGCCGGCACACACTTTGCTTCCGAACTAAGGGCAAGAATCTACATGTGTTTTTGTTGGTACCCAGGTGAGTCGGATTTTGTTTTATTGAAAGGTCTGCCCAAGACTCCAAGGTTTGAGACGCCGGATGTCGCGCATTTGGATGTGACTTTGAATGGGTCGTGGCCCCTATGGACATCATTTAATCAATTGCCCAGTGGCCCAGAAATACAAGGTTAAGCTTTTGGGGCCATGACTAAAAACTGGACCCAACCAGAGAAACCACAAGTTGTCATTTTGGTTGCAAGTGAGTTTAGCTGGGGATTCATGTCCCACCACTTTGGAGGTGATTCCCTGTTGAAATGTTCAAGAACATTGATGATACACCCCGTACCCTCCAATCAAACCCGGGTTTGAATTCATCGGTTTGGATTGGTGTTCCGGGCTGGTGAATGCGACGACTTGAGGGAAACACATGAAGAGGAGAATCGGACAGGTTTACTGATCTGGGGTCAACATTGGTAAGACACACTTCTTGATTCTTGCAATCACTTCTTTCACTATATGAATCACGTTTTGCAAAATCAGGCTTCCTCGTGTTTCTACTTTCTTTTATAGAAATTAGAGAGTTGACCTAAAACCAACATTAAGAACCCTGGCGTTGGTATTTGGAGGTTACCTGCAGGTAACCCGGAAGTCTGACGGCAGACGCGGCAGATCTCCCTGGAGAGAAGGCACCGGATCCCACTGAGCTTCTTCCCAGAGGTACTGCACCACGTCGCCGGCGCGCCGGGAGCGGGGAAACTGGCGGAGAGGTCGGCTCGCGGATGGGATTGGGGATTCCGCGCATTTTTGTTGTTCCTGTTGAGCCCTCTGCAAAAAACATAACCTTTTGCGGGTTTCGTGGAAAACCCACATGATTTCAACCAAAAAGTCAAAGTCTAAAGATCCGTTGCCCAAATAGCCGTCAAGCTTTAGGGAAGCTCCTGCTCCAACGGTCAGAGGGTCGCCTTTCCCCGAAACGGCTGGCACTCCCGGAGCTCATGAACCATCCTCCCGACAGCCGATCCGCATCCGCTGGCCCTTGCAGGAAATGGGGGTACCCAAAATTCAAATTTGGGTTGTGACCCGTTTTTCTAGGGGTCAGAAGGAGACTCTAGGTGTATATATATATACACTATATAATGAGGGTCTCTGCTCCCGCCCCCAATACTTCCAAGGATCCTGCTTTTAAAGGCCAAAACCGCCTCAGAGCCTTAGGTGGTTTGAATAGATCCGGGATCAACCTGCGGTATCTTTGATGCCCACCGTGGAATCATGAGGATACTGCCTTTAAACAATTGTTCCTTTCCGCCGCCGCCCAGCGAAGCCATAGGAACTTGGTTCAACAGCGCCGGAGCCAAACCTGCAGCCCCACAAAGTAAGGAAGCAATGGTCAAACTTCGCTCAATCCCCAAGTGTGGGAGCTACACTTTGGGTGAGCTCCACTTTGGGCCAGAGAAATTGTGGACGGAACCTATGGACAAGGGGCAAGCGCTTCCAAACCTTCCCACCCCAACCAGCAACTCCGAATGCCTTCTTGTTTGGGGTACTCAGTTGTTCAGTGACCCTGGAAACAAAGGGAACCCTTTTGGCACGTGGCGGGCGAGCGATTCGTCCGCAGCTCGGAGTACCTTCACCGAAAGGGCGATCAGAGGAAAGAAGCAAGCCCCGAACAGAGCTAATCCCCATCGCAGGGATTGGCGCATGCAAGGCCAGGGAATCCTACACGGGTACCACGAAGTGTAAGGGCAGCGCCATCGATCTGCAGAATAGGGCCGCCCCATGGAGCCGAGAAAATGAAGACCGCCTGGTAGAAGTAGCCAGCAGGAAGTCCCGAGAGAAGACCAAAGAACAGGGCCCATCCCTGAATACAAAGATGGGCACATGCAATGATGCCCCCTCCAAACCGATCCACGCGACGAAGCCAGGGTGAAGTAGAAACAAGTCCCACGAGGTGAAGGACCAGGAGAACTGGGAGGAATCGCACATGTTCAAGAAGTAGCAGAACCGCCCGCCCATGAGGCCACATAGAAGGAAGTTCTCGACCGTAGCCAAGTAGGCGAGGAAGAAGCCACAACGCAAATCCAGGAAATCCACAGAGCTTTCATTTCGGACAAAACTGCACACCACACCGAAAAGGACGCTCTCCTGGCCGGAAAGTTGATCATGAAGATGCAGCGCCCCGCCCAGGGGAAGGCGGGTCTTGTGGACGTCCAACCTTCCATCGGAGGAATGGCGGGACCCTGGGGCGCGACTCCCTGAGGCAGCCGAGATGCCTACAAAGGGAACCCTTTTTGGGGAAGACCATTTTTGGTGGGGCAGCCACCAAAAAAGGGAAAACGAAAAAAATGGGTGCCACTGAACAACTGAGGGTATGATGTCAACCCAGACTCAGGAGGCCACACGCCCTGTCATTGCCTGGCCAAGTAAGGCAGGTTCCCATGAAAATGCATCACCCAAGGCCCACTTTTTGTCAGGGCATGATAGGGTATGATGCCAAGCCTTGACTAAAAATGAGAAATATTTATCTACCCTCGAAAACCAAGTTGTCCAAACATATCTAACAAAGGAAGAACAACAGGGGAACATAGTATGCCTGAAAAGAAACATGTTTTCCAAGAATAGCCTTTATTTAAGTAACTATGCATATATATATATATTCACAAGTATTGGTATTGTCTACCTACCCTGGAAACCGCTTTCCGAAACTATCCTTAAACAAAGGAGAGGGCATCCAAACATCCCCTACGTTGACACGGGGATTTGTGGACCTCGTGGGCGCCTCGAGGCCGTTCACTGGCGTCGCATCTTCCTTGAAGTCCTCGCGGCGGGTCCCGAGCGAAAAAAGGATTCCGGGTTGCTTTCCAACCCCACAAAATACCAAAGCACACACATGAACCTAAAAATGAAACATCGATCTGCCAACAGTGAAGATTGTACAAGCACTACTTTGTTCAGCTCCCCTCTACGGTGGCTTGGAGCGCTGTGGTTTGGATTGGTTCCGGGAGCTTGCCAACACAATCCATAGCCAAATAATTCAATCCTCCATGGCTTCCCCATAAAATAACAAAAATGCCCCCCCTTAACAGCACACACACACACAACACACACACACACACACCAAAAGACTTGGTTTGTTCACCATACTCACCGTTTTTGGGTTATATCCTCTATGAAGTAGCTTGGCAACCAAAGAAGCAAGGGGCGTAAACAAGGGGTATGTATTTCCGCTCATAGGTACCCTGCCGGGGTGTGTCCCCAAAAGCGGATAATTGGGGGAAACCAGCAATAAATTCCCAGCGAACCCACTTCGATCGTCCAAATAGCTTGCTGAAACTTGAGAGATGCGCGAGCACCGCCAGACTCGTGACGGGTTCAATGGCAAGCCCTTACTGACCTGCTGAGTTGACTTTAAGGGAACTCCTACAAACAGCTGGAACGGTCATTCCCTGCCTATCGCACCGGCAAGTCTTTCAGCTAGGTCCTCCAGTAGAGAGGATAGAATAAGGATACCCTTTTTTTCTGTAGTCTATCTTAGTAGGGGAACCCTCCCCCAAAAAGTTGGTAAAAGGGCACTACTGGGGGACCTGGCCAACCAACGAAAAGTTGGCAGTTTGTGCCAACTCAGAGGGTAGCCAGCAATGTTGGGCTTGCGATCGGGGCCATCCTCCCCGCCCGGCAGAAAATAGGGAAAGCAGACACCGCCAGGGTTCTCGGAATATAAGCTGCGCCCCACTTCAGGTGGATTCGACGAGATTCGATCCTTTTTGTCGCTGCCTGTCGACCGAGTCGCAAGCGGTATATGTTGCGATGGCAACTATTAGCGCGTGAAATCGCTGTACACTGCTGATCTCTGCACGGAAAAGCACTTGAGACTGTGCAAAAGTGGTGAGACGTTGATAATGCAAAAAAAAAAGAATGGCTCACAGCGTGATCAAATCGCATTCGTGTGAAACCCCCATTCACCATGAACTAATTAAGAGCCCATTGACACCTCGGCGCACTGGCAGCGGACAAGAACGGAGCCTGGGAGTTCTGCCCCTGAATGGCCAATGGCCGGGCCAATTCCCTACTAAAAAAGAGGTGCGCACCCTGGAAAACCATGCTTCTCCCCAGATACTGGAAAGCTGCAGGGTTTCTAACTTCTAATAAAGAAAAGGAAAGTCATTTGCGTGATTGACGGCTGGGTGCGGGGGGGTGCAGTTCGGGGTGCTGGTGTAGATGCTGTTTGGGGTGCTGTTTGGGGTGCTGTTTGAGCTGCTGTTGGCGCGGGCGCATCTGTTCAATCGATTGACGGCAGGGTGCTAGGCGCCCATACACACAGGTGACACAAAGCATGTTAAAACACTTACCCAGGCTGGACTCAGTTTCCAGAGTGAACACCTCCCCTAAGCTTCGTTGGACCCTTTGAAGGGGGATGGGGACCTCAGGCAGGCGGCCGGTGCTTCAGACCATTGGACCTTTGAGAAAGCCACCAAGTACCCACTCCACATGTCCAAAAAAACTCACTTCCGGATGGGCCAAACAAGGTCCAAACTGGTTGAGTGCCACGGAAGAACAAAAAAACCGGTCTCCCCGAAGAGTATCAAGTCCAGGAGCTCGGGAAGTTCACTTCAAACCACTCCCTGTGATTCCATTTCCGCGATCTTGAGCTGGTTGCCTTACTATAGGGGCAATTGAGATGCACTGGGACCCGAACAAAAAACAGTCACCCAAATGTTGGCTCGCTGAACCCAGTCAATGTCATCGATCTCACATCAACTCTCTAGGCAATGTCACTGACTTTTAGCTGATCAAGCCGCTTGAATCGCTGCAGTCAGGCCACTGTCACCCCCACATTTTGGATTACGCAGGCAAAGTGGCCGACGTTGAGCTTTACCTCAAGTTGGGCCGCGAGCCACGTACTCATGTTCTGCCCCAACAGACCGGGAGGCAAGCTTTTACACTTCTACCAGCTTGGACATCGCTCGCTGCAAAGTTGTTGAAAAGGGCCCCCGCCATTCACAAAAGGCACGAACCAGGCAAACTGGATTTTAAACAGTCAACACTGAACCACAAAATCCAAAATCCCAAAAATCAACTTGAAAAGAACCACCTCGAAAAATCCAAGAGCAAATAATGCGGACAATCGGCAGGCTTGGCCGACAACTGATTGGCCTGTGCCAGCCGTTTCCTCAGCTGGGTCAGCATCTGCCAACTTGCCATGCATCCGAGGCCCAGTAACCATGGGACAAAAAGGGCATCCTTTGGTGGGTTGACTTTAAAGGGGAACTCTTCCCAAAAAATGGAAAAGAGGGCACCACTGGGCACCTGGGCATGTGTTAGGCCTATAATGGGAAGAACCGCCTTTGTTGGGACGTCTCGTCATAGGCAGTCCCCGAAAAGCAGTTCTGTCAAGGTTTCTCTTTCGCGTCTTCTGCTCACGGCAAACAACACGATCCCAAGGTGAGTCGCAATCAAAACCTGGTACAAACATGGTCGACCCAGAACCATGTAAAGAATTAAGAAGGCGGATATCCGAAGCTGTTTATGGCTGGGATCATCCCTTACTAACCTTCATGAATCCCCGGGTTTTGAGCAAGTGTTTCAGGTGTCTGTTCTTGAGGTGCCCACTTTCTGGCGCGGTTTCCATCGCACACCAAACGCAGCATCGCCTTTTTTTTTCCGGGTGGCGGGGGTTCTCTTTCTTGAGGCAAAACCATCGCGCAGGCCTCGCCAAGGCTCCCATAATGAAACTCTGCGCAGGACTCCGGCTCAGTCATGTAACCTGAGGCAACCTTAGTGGATCGGTTGTGTACGTGCCCCGCGCCCACGCGCATGAATTTGTAGCATTGTACATACTAGGTCTGTCTTTCTCCATGCGCATGAATTTGCCAGCATTGTGCACAATGGTGGCTCTTTTTTGGAGTTGGTACCCGTTGTTCGGTGGATTTAAAAACGAGCCAAAAGGACAGCCAGCATTTTGCGGGGTCCCTTATGAAGGAAACTCGGAAGCCCCGAAACCGGGGAATATACTTGGCACCCAACCAAATTGGGCCGTTGTTTCAAAGGAACTCAACATGGAACCGAGTAGCCATTTGAAGGGGTCGTGAGCGACCTAGGCCTGATGCATTCCGCCATGTCTCTGTGTGTGTGTGTGTGTGTGTGTGTTTGCGAGTCAGTGTATCTGTTTGACGGTGTGTGTGTTTTGTGCAGGTGAGCAGTAAAACTGAATTAATAGGTAAGTGAGTCAGCGAGTGAGCGAGTGAGCGAGTGAGTGAGCGAGTGAGCGAGTGAGCGAGTGTGTGAGTAAGCGAGTGAGTGAGTCAGTCAGTCACTCAGTCACTCAGTCACTCAGTCAGTCACTCAGTCAGCAAGTGAGCAAGCAAGTAAGTGCATAAAGTGAATAAGTCAGTAAGTGAGCAAGTGAGTGATTAGGCAAGTAAGTCAGCAAGTGGTGGCCCGGCAGGTGGGTGGGTGCGCGAGTGCCATGCGCCCATGTAAGCGTGCGGGTATGGGTGTGCTCGGTTGCTTTCTGCTCCCCTGCTGAAAGTGACTAACTTTTGGTGGTTTAACGAAAAAACAATTAGTTGGCAAAAAGTTTAAGTGCTAACATCCAAGCAAAATGCAACAAAGTGTGGGTGTGGCTGTGTGTGTGTGTTAAATGATTCGTTGGTTGGATGGCTGGTTGGCTGGTTGATTGCTCGCTTGCTTGGTTTGCTTGGCTGGCTGGCAGCTTGGTTCGTTTGCCGTTAGCTTGCTTGCTTGTTTGGTTGTCGGTACTGTTGGCGAGGCTCGGCTGTGGCAGCAAATGTCCGTGTGATTCAACGCGTGTCTGTGGCATGCCAGCCACACTGCATCTGGGTGAATTATCATATTTCACCGGCCTGAAACTTGCGGTGGTTCGAGGGCTATTCCAATCACATAAGCGGGTGTGGCTCAAAATGAAACAGCTGGGGTTACGCAGGTTTTGGTCCATGTTTCCACTTACCAGGGTTCCATTTTGGTACCGGTTTTTTGAGCCACAGCCAAACCACAATTTGGGGTGAACTCGGTCGTGTGTCGTTCTCATTCACGACTGCATGCAAGCTTTGGACCTGCATGCGAGGCTGCTGGGGCCCCTGGCCATTTCGTAAGGCCATACCTTGAAGGTCGCGGTGCTGTTCCTCGGAGTCTCGCTTCATGACCCGTTTAAAAATGGGATTGCCCAAAATTCAGGGGTTATGACCCCTTTTCAGATGCCCAGTGGCCATGGGAGAAAAAAAAACTGGCACCTTTTTCTTGGTTGGTTGAGGTTAAAGGGGACCCTTACCCAGAAAAAGTTGAAAAAATGGGGTATCACTGGGCAACAGAGTCTAGGGGTCTCTAGGTAAATAGTTGTTCATTTCAGCCAGTGGAAGCCTTCGTTGTCTAGGTCCTCCAGTAGAGAGGTTAGAATAAGGGTATCAGCTTTTTCTAGTCTATTTTGGTAGGAGACCCCTCCCCAAACAAAAAAGGTTGGTTAAAAAGGGCACCGATCGCTGGGGGGCCTAGCTTCCATCATCTTCCCTTGGGAAAAAAAAAGCAATGGATGGGGTGTGTCTCAAAATCGGGGGGGCCTCAGAAGAGCTTCAGGACAGAAGAACACCGAGCCCAAGCTAGGGGTCCAGGAGCGGCGCCCGTTCGGCCGAGAAGCTCCAGGTCGATGGCCATCTCGATCCAGTCCCCCACCTGCAGCGCCCGCACGTGCTTCTTGGCCTTCAGGATGTCCCCGAAGACCCGCATGCAGATGCGGCCCCGCTGGTTCACGAAGACCGAGACCTGAAGCGAGAGCTGACAGGTCAAAACCCTGGTACCCCTGGTGAGCATCAAAATAGGTGGCAAATGTTCAGTGGATGTTCATCCACCCCAAAATGCCCCATGGCCACATACCTAGAGTCTCCTTCTGACCCCTAGATAAAAGGGGTCATACTTTTTGGGTAACGACCCCGTTCTTTTTTCGGGTCAGGTTCTCACACATCAGTGCCCGAAACCATGCAAGGAGTTGAAAAGGTGGCGAAGGCAACCTATCATTCATCTACCCGGGATGTAGCTTACATGTACCCTAAGCCTCAGAAATTATCCATTGCTTTCTTGAGGTCCCAAGTGTCTTAGGAATAGAACAAAACAACAGGGCCCCTTTGACCATATGTAAAAAGCCAACCCTGGGTGGAAAGAACAAGTGGGGGGAAGTGGGGGATTCCCTCCCCCCTCCCTGCAGCCAAGGCTCGATCTTCTGAATGTTCTTGGCACACGGCACGCGCGATGCGAACCTGGGCCCAAGCGAAACTATCGAGACCCGGAGCGCTTCCGCTCGTGATCGCAAGGGGAGCATTCTCGCAGCATTCAAGGAAACTGAAGGGACAACAACACATGGACGAGAAACGTGTTTTTCGGGTGCTGGCTTCAGAGCATCCATGACCCCTAGAAAAATTGGGTCCTTACCCAAAATCCAGGAGTTATGCACCCATGTTCCAAGGGTCAGAAGGAGACTCTAGGTGCCAAAACAAAAATACAGTGGCCCACGTTCGACACCATTTCGCCTGCCCAAGCCAATCCATCCGTCCGAGGCACACGAAGCCTACGCCGTCGGCTTTGGTCAGCTCGCCATCTGAGAACTGCATCAAATATCTCTGGACCTGACATGCGAGCGAAGCCCCCAGAATCTTTTTCTGGGCGAAAACGAGAACAACCCTGAAGGTATGGTAGCACCTACTGAAACTGAACAGAACCCCAAGCAAAACAACAAACAAATGCCAACAACAGTCAAGGTTTTACATGGTAAAAGCTTATATGGCTATGCAACTCGTAAAGGAACCACCTCACAAGTTGTTGGTGGACATGGATCCCAACCGAAATTTGAATTGGCCAATAACAAGCGATATTGGGCGCTGCAAAATAAGGTACCCAGATCAACATGTAATGCAACATGCAAAGAAGTAAGAGAGCGGGAACCGTCCCGACCCACCTCACTGGGGTCAATACATCCTTGGTTGAGTTGATCTAAAGGGGTGTCGATCCCCTTTGGGGGGGGTTCATCACTTGAGGGGGGCCTTCCCCCCTGTGAATACTGTGGATGGACGAACTCCTGGACCACTTGCAACCATGATTTGTAACTGTTCCAGGGCTTCTGGGCTGGATTTTGTCCATCCGCAGTAGGTCCCCCGGCTAGGTGCCCTTTTACCGACTTTTTGGGGGTTTGGGTTCCCCTACTAAAATAGACTGAGAAAAAATAGCTTGTCACCATTAGCCGCGCTGAGGGCCGTTTACAGGGCACCTAACAGTTGCCTGCAAGCTCTCGCGTAACAAGAAGGCCTCGGTCCTCCAGACTTGAGGTTAAAATAAGGGTACCAACTTTGTTCGGTTTTGTCTATTTTAGTAGGGACCCCTCCCCCAAAAAAAGGGGTAATAAACAAATTGGTCATTACCTACAATTGAGGGGTTGTGGCCCCATTTTTAAAGGGTCATGGAGACTCCAGGAAAAGGAACATCCGGCGACAACTTGAGCAACCAATTCCCGAACCGCTTAACCACTTGACCGCTTCCTGAGCCTCCCGGCGCCGCCTCTCTGCACTTCGGATCCGGAGATCACCGACAAGCGGCCTTCGTAGTCCTCCGCAGTCGGTTTTGCCCATCGACGAAACCACTTCGGCCCTGAAATGGGAAGTCACGGGTCCTGTCTCCGGTCAAAAAATGATCACTGGGACCTAAAAGTTCAGGGGTTTTGCGAGGAATCCCCGGAAAAAAGGAGAGGGGGGGCCTGTGTTTGGGGGTGCTTCAATTATTTTAGAAACGGCCCGAGCATGTTTGGGGGCAATATTCCATACAGGCTAGTTTGAGGCTCCAAGGGTCTGGGTTGTCTTTTTGTCAAGGGTTTCCTCAGTCTCTTGGTGTCACTGTCAATTTGGAGAACGCAAATGTGGGTATTCTATCCCTTCAACCCTTGGCAACCCAAAGATGCTAGGATTCGCTTGGTAGAGGAATTGGTCGCGCCGGCTCATTGCTCCAGAAAGCTTGTAAATCCCTTCAAACAAATCTGCTCCTCCACCGGGTTTGTGCTCAAGCAAGGTTCCTATCCATGTGGCCTTTTGGACAAATAGATGGCTCTGGTAAATGGAGTAAAACCCATCTACCCTGAAACAGGTGAATTCAGAAAAGATAACAACCATGTTCAGATTCTGTCCTCGTATTTAGTCTATGTGTCGAAAAAAGGGGACCCCCCAAAAAAAACATGGCCATTGTCCTCCTTGAACACTACTCTTTAAAGCCAAAAACGTTGCACTCCAGACAACAGACCTCCGGCATGAGCAGGCCGGTGTTCATATTAACCAACCCCCAGTGTATCAAATAGGCGTAGGTTCCCCTCCAAAAGTCTGATTCCCCACGAAACCCCAACACCCCCCCAGTGAAAAGCTGGTGTCCATGCGGGCCTCGGGGGTTGACCTCCGCGTCGCTTCGGGGGTGCCCCTCCCCTCCCCACCCCCGAGGGTGGAGGCAGGTGGGGGTGTAGGTAGTCTCACTAGTTAATAGTAGGTACCCTTTACCAGGGGCACCTACTACTGGTCTAGGGGGTAGGTACCCCTAGCTACCTAGTGAGCAAACTCACTGGGAACAAGGGTGCCACAGCTAGGTCCTCCAGTAGAGAGGTTAGAATACGGGTACCAACTTTTTTTTTCTGTAGTCTATTTTCGTAGGGGAACCCTCCCAACCAAACAAAAAGTGCAAAAGGGCGCCTAGCTGGGGGACCTAGACACCACGCTGGAATTAAGACCCCAGCAACAGATTGTCATTTTTGCCTGGTGTGGAAAACAAAGGGGACCCCAAAAAAGCAATCAAAAAAAGGGGAGCTAATTCTGGGGAAGTTTTCGTAGGGGAACCCTCCCAACCAAAAAAAGAAACGGGTGAGAAGGGCACCGATCGCTGGGGGTGGACCTGGTGACCTCGACGCAAGATCCGCCGTGGCCTGGCCCTTGGTGAACTGCCGCAGGTCGTTGGAAGCCACGCCGAAGCCCCGGACCTGCGGCTCCCGACCCGACTCCTGCTTGTGCCTTGGGGTGTAGCGAAAAATGTGTCGCCACAAGCTTTGTACCCCAAAATGGTACAGCTAAAAACGTAGCCACAGCTCAAATGGGGGTGTAGCAAAAGTTGATTTAGCTGGCGTTTTGCTCCGAAGAATGTAAGGCAGGCTTAAACCTGCGTAACCCTAGCTCATTCATCTTCAGCCACGCCCAGTTGCCACCACCAAAAGAATGGGGGCTAAAATAAAACCACCGTTGTTTACCCGAGGATTGTCTTCATCCTAAATTGGGTCCTTGCCATACATTTAATGGGAATTGGTTGAATATCAGGGCCTCAGTTGAAATCAGCTTGGACTTAGAATCTTAGAATTGTAAGGGGGGATCACCTTTCCGGCCATCGAGAATGCGTCATTTCAGTTCAATTCGCTTTGGACAAGTGAGCATTGCATGGGCGGCTTCAGTTTTAAGGGTACCTGGCCGGGTTCCATTTCTTGATCTGAAGGTAGACTTAAACCAAGCTGATTTGCAACAATAGACCCCTACCTTGATCCTACGACCTATGCAAAGACTTCACCCCATAATTCTGGTTCTCACTTCCTCGATTGGCCAAGGAAAACTGAAACGTGTTTGACTAAAGCCCAGCAACCAAAGGAGAGTTGGCAATAGCCCGGTTTAGTGGTTTTGAGGGTACCCTTGGGATTGCCAAACGCAAAGGAGACCCGCACTGGGGGTAGGGACCTTTTTGGGTCCATAGCAACTTGTGAGGAAGGGTAATGCACCACCGGTGAAGCTCGATTGCACGACTCCCTGTCTCTTTTGTGGAATATCCCCTCCAGCTTGTGGATAGGGGGGCAAAGTCAACGTTGTGCACGCTTCACTTCTGCGAACATGTACCCAGTCCCGCAAATGCGGCATTCTGGAATTTCCTTAAGGTATAGCAAGGAAATCGCCTGAAGGTCAGCTGCCCATCCATCGGTGGTCTGGATTGGTGGTTTGGAGGTGATCCTGGGCGGTTTCCCATTTCTCTACAAAGGACCCGGGGGTCAAATCCAAATCCAAACCGCCAATCACCACCAACTAAGGGCAACCTGATCCAAGATGGGCGTGTGTCAGCTGACTGAAACGGCCTCAAACAAAAAAACGGGATGTGTCCCACATGACGAATGTCCCACTACAAACTGCCCCCATGAGTTGGTCATTCGCATTCTGCACCAACCAGAAGAAAGAGCATCGATTCGGCGTCGAGGAACTCTATGGGTTGTCGCAAGTCAAAACCAAGCCGGTTGTGTTCCTAGAGTTTCCTTCTGACCCCTAACAAAAAAATATCAATTAACCCTGGAGTTTTGGGTAATGACCCCATTTTTTAAAGGGTCATAGAGACTCCAGGTTGACTCATGGCTGTCTCTCTTTCATGGACCCTCAAACAAAATGTGACTTTCCTGTTGGTTTCCTGCAAAAAAAAGCAAACAAAACGAGGTGCCCTAAAAAAAGATAAAGGATAATTAACCCCCCCTCCATGTTGCAAGAAAAGCAGGCCGTCGCTTGAAATACCACGCTTTCGCAAGCTTGTGCCTAAATGGGAAGGCCCAACTTGGAAGCCAAAGCCTTTGTTGCAGGCGAGACCCCTCTGGAACTGTTTGTGGGTCCAATGGAAAATCCGATCTGCTTCAACCAAAAAGTTAAAGTCCAAAGATCAGTTGCCGAACAGCCATAAAGAATCGAAGTTGTCAACTAGTGACCACACATACCCACACAATTCAGGGTTGCGCCAAAAATATAGAAATGGTAGAACTTGGTGGAGTGACATCCCATCAACGAGATTCATGTCCTCCCCCAAGTGGGCATCCTGCACTGGAATCCATGCTGTGGATGAACGAAATCTATTTCGCGCCACCTAAGAAACCCTGGAATGATGAATCCCATGTAAATACCAATAAACCATGGTTTCCCATGGTTTCCAAGTGGTGCGAAATGGATTTCGCAACCATCCACAGTAGCGGCAAGGAAGGGGCCTCCGCAGCGCCCATACCTGGCCTCCTTGTGGAAGCTATGCAGCATACCAAAAGGTGGGGCTGACGCCTCCATTGCCTGAATGGAAAAAACAAAACAAAGAACGCAGAAAGATCATGGAGTCATTACATGGAGTTATTACACATAGATCATTACATGAGAAAGATCATAACTAGACAAAACAAATAACTTCATTGTCTCTACATGGAGTCATTACACAAAATTAAGGAGTTACGACCTTTTTCTGGGGGCCATGGAGCTCTAGGTATGAGCCCGCCAAAAAATGGAGATGCCAAAGCCACAATCAGTATTCTTCCATATGCTTCCGCCCCCTGGAAACAAATCAGAATATGTCAGGCAGTAATAGATTCCCTTAACTTAAAACCAACAGGTGACATAAACAATATTCTGAAGCAAATGGAAGGTATTCAATGTCTATACTCACATTCAAATTTCCTCATATTGAGTGCCTGCCACTCTACTGATGTCGCCAAATCTTGACAGCGGCCGTAAAAAGCTAAGGGAAACTTTGCTGAGTCAAAGTCAGGCACGCCTCGCTACTTTCATGGAAACCGGAAACCGAAAGCCAACAACATTCAGAGTGCCCGGCAAATGATGGGACTACGATGCATGATGCACATGTCATTTCGGGGATGCTTTCTCTGAGGGTACCCGTTTTGGTTTCAATTTGAAACCACTAGGAACCCCTGGGGTCCAAATCAAAAACAAAGACGAGCCACCCATGTCTTGGTCTTTTTAATGGGGCCGGTCATAGGGCAACTAAGCTCCATACCACTCATGTCCTGAATGGCTTGGCCAAAAACAAATTGCACTCACTCGAATGGCCTTCCCAAAAGTTCTATGGTCTACCCTGGGAAATTCAATACATGAAAACAATGTTTTTTGTTTGTTTGGTGGGTTTAAACAAAAACAACACGGAAAACGGACCCATTTGAGTGTCCCCTTAAAAAAACCGAGGGATTCAGAATGATTCAGATACACAACTTTAAACACGTGGCGGGGTCAATATGGCCACTATTGTTTACCTAACCTTTGTCAAAGTTGAGTCAACCCACTTCTTTTTTGCAAAACCATGGGGGTGGAACCCCAGTATGTAGGACCTCAAAAGGGAGAGCCCGGCCCGGTCTGCTTTGATAAAAACAAAATCCCTCGCAGCCCGCCTGGCTCGGATCTGGCCAAGCACCTGGGATGCATCGATCTCGCGGATTTCGATATGGGAACTAGGCCCTCCAGTGGACAGGTTAGAGCACGGGTACCCTTCTTTTTCTATTTTTTCTGTAGTCTATTTGAGTAGGGGAACCCTCCCCCAAAAAAGAAACGGTAACAGGGCACCTACCTGGGGGACCTAGCATATCCTACTCCATGACCCTCGCCCCTTTGCTGACCTGGACATGCAGGCGGTGGCTATGGGCACTGAGCCCCTGCCCGCAGGCTGGCATCTCCGCATCTTCAAGTGGGGAAGTTTGAAGAACCCTGGGCCCTGGTTGTTCGCAGAAAAAATATTAAATGCCTGGCTTAGTTCGGGGTCGACATCATACCCTAGAACAGACAGTGTTTGGAGTTGGGTATCGGAATAAAGACATGGGTGACATGGGGACCTTCACGGGTAAGCTCGTTTTTGGCCCGGATCGATGAGATCGTTATAAATTGCTCAAGTGTGTGTGTGTGTGTCTCTCTGTCTGTGTCTTCGTGTCTTTGTCTCTGGTGTGTCTGTGTATCTGTGTCTCTCTGTGTCTCCGTGTGCCTCTCTGTGTCTCTGTGTGCCCCTCTGTGTCTCTCTGCTCTCTGTGTCTATCGGTGCCTCTCTGTGTCTCTCCGTGTCTGTGTCTGTGTCTCCTAATGGGGGTACCTCGAAGTTGGTGGTGTTTCCCGTTGGCTTCCCGTTCAAACAATGCCAAAACACATACCATGAAACCATCAACAAAGCACATACCAGAATATGGCGAAACGATTCCGACACCTCGGTGAAGGGCAAAACCGAGAGAAGCCCCACTTGCAGTGGTTCTGAGTCCTAAGTGATGTGGTGAATTTTCCGAATGCGGCAAACACACCCCACAGAAGCACAGACTTTCCGACACACCCAGAGGAAACTCTCCAATGTACAACCTACTGCTAGCAAGCCCCTCTGCGAGGAGTTTCTACTCATACTACTTTAAACACCCGCTTGTTTCAGGGTACATGCGGAAAAACCAAACGGTTTTCCATGGTCAACACCTCCTTTAGGCAGGGGTTGACATCATACCCGGGCATTCGCCTTCCTTTCATGGGGGGTGCGTCAATTTGCTCTCCAGTCAATGGATTTCCCCAATGCAATGGAAAGACCCACTTGAGGTCCAAGGGATATGAAAAACAACCTGTACTCCAGTATTTTGCATGCAAATTATGGAACCCCAAAATGGGCCCAGCAAATAAGCTCCAAATATATGACAGATTCATGTTGAGAGCCGTCGCTCAGGATCGCAACCCCAACCCAAGGTACCATCCAAAGGATTCAACCAGTTCTTTGTCTAAAAGGTGTCCCTTTCCATTCCCGTATCTTTGGCTGGGGAGCCCCCAATTCCGTTTTTTTCTAGTCTTCCCCCAAACTGAAAAACTGAGCCCAGAACGAAGGTCACGCCGCCTCCCTACTGCCATTCTTAAGGGACCCTTGGGGGGTTCCTTTTCGAGGCCATGCTCGGAACTTCCATGGGGACAACACGGCGGAGTCTTGCAAACGAGCATCAGTACGGGTCTGCCATCTGCATGCCCACCTTGGCCAAAGGGAATCCCTGGATCAAAGTAGGTTGGTCCCGCGAGGGACCAAAGATTGCTGCCTCGATCGGCGGCGAATGAGACATGGAATAACCCAGACTAAAGCCATCCAAGTGGTTGAGGGAATCCACTTCTGCTTCATTCCGAAAGCAGAACTGAGGACAAGCAAGATAAATGTTGCACTCCTTTGGGTGTGCCTTGAAACCCAAAACGGGCAACAACTCCCCAAAAGCGATCCGACTTGGGCATTCACTCGGCTGAGCATGCGAAAGATGGAAAACCAAGAATTGTGCTACAGGCGGCTTGAGTGTGGGACCAATATACTCTTCCAATTAACGCCTTGCACAGCTCGCTCACACCAAGTCTGAGAGCTAAGGAGCCAAAGGCCCACCCCTAGCTGGCCATAACAAAGGCAGTGTTCTTTGGGGAAAACAGATGACCCTGGTAAATGGTGAAACAACCAGGTCAACCAGGGCCATCACCCAAACAACCGGGAAAAACCCACTATTACGATGAATCTTCTGCAGCAATCGAATTGCCCGCCAAGCAGCCATCATGGGAGCCATCATAGGAGGCACACCCATTCCAGTCCTTGCTTCGCACAAGCAGCCCTAAGCCCAACCTGCAAGCATCCAAACGGGAGTGGGTTTTCTTAAAGGCTTCCTTTCCAATCCTTGGAATGTGAGCAAAACAAAAAGCGTGTTCTGTTTTGCAGCCACTCGCTAAACATGAACACAACCAGCAAACGCTAAAAAGCGAAATCACATGCCAAGAAGACTAAAGGGCACCTGTCTGGCACAAAGGCATGACACCAAATTAACCCGCAACCCCGAACCCATTTGTGCAGGCTTCCCTTCCAACCAAGCATCAGAAGGGAAACTAAGCTTGGGGGTCTTTCCCAGTCATGTCTAGCACCGAAAAGGGGCAATGAACCAAACTATCAGATGCCAGCGCGAGTGCTACTGTGGATGGACGAAATCCTGCACCACCTAAGAAGCTCTGGAATGATGATTCACCTGCAAATACCAACAAACAATAGTTTCACATGGTTTCAAAGTGGAGCGAACGGATCTCGTCCATCCACTGTATGACCTGCATGGCTATGACCGCTCACTGGAGGCCATTCGCATGGAGCCACTCCACTCGAGGGAACAGAAGTCACCAATTTGGCGGGGGTCCCAGTTTTCGGCGAAGAGGAAAAGAACGCGACACCTCACACCATTGCTTCCTTCTTTTTTTGGGGGGGGGCCGGGGATGGCCATGCATGTGGGCTGTCTCAAAAATTCAAGCCAAATGGGTGGCTTGTCTCTGACTTTCCCTTACCAGAAAGGGGGCACCAAAAAAGAACAGACCCTTCTTGGGTGCTGGCGAGACCGCTCTGCAAAAACAACATAACTTGTTGTGGGTCCAAGGGACAATCCGACCAGCTTCAACCAAAAAGCTAGTCCAAAGATCCAACCAAATGGCCATAAAGCCTTTCGGGCTTTCCCATTTCGGCTCCCAAGTGAATATGTGCGGTTCTCAAAGTTGCGAGGTGTAGCTTCCCTTGAAATCATCTAGCTCCGGTACTGTTGAGCAAATATGGCTACACCGCTGCCAGCCAAATTTTGGAGCACGCCGCAAAGCAAAGCCACGCGCAGCCGCTCTTGCCAGGCCACATCAAAGGAGCTGGATACGCAGAATGCGCCGCAGCAAAGTGATCCCAGGTCTCAAACCTTCCCAAGGCTGGCAGTCCCAGTGCTTTCAGAATTTCAGAATTTCAGTCACTTCAAGAGGCAACCAGGTAGCTTGACCTGGCTTCATATGACTATGATGTTCTCCACTAGCATGGTGACTCTGCGCGCCCTGCCTCTCCATGGACTTCGTTCTTGGCTCTTCGCCTCAGAAAACCAGGTCTTGTAAGCATCCCTCTCATATGGAAAGTCCCCAAATGAGTGGTTTCCTCCAGGTGTCCCCTTGAAATCAACCAAAAACGGGCTCCGGCGGCTTTTGTTTCCACACACATCTGCATCCAGAGCTTGACTCGCATCTGGGGCCGTGACCAGATTCCTCCGAGTCAGACCTGGGCTTGTTCCCACGACAATATGTATGGGACCTTTTCAGGCAAGTGACGAACCACAAACCAGTTGCAATCTTCTACTTGCAAAAGTATGCGGGTGTTTCAAGTTGGTCAAGTTGGTCCTCTTTCAACCGGCGTTCCCCCCAGAAGGTCCCTGTCTTGACACACGTCGGCGTGTGTCTTCTTTTAGGTTGCCCCTTTTGGGCTGCTTGAAAGGAAATCCGCTTTGGGGCTTCAATATTCCGACGTTGAACCAATCCTACATACACTCCTGCAGATCAACATGTAAGCCAATACACCATCCGTTGAACAAACTGCTTTTGGGCAAGGACCCCCCTTGTTTACTTTGCAGGGGATTATGTTGCATGAGGCAAGGTGAAATAAGGTGAAGATTACTCCCCAAATGAACATGGAACCCAACAAACCACCATGTGTAGAGGGGGATCCTTGGGGCAGTTTTCCCCTGGTGGGTTCCTTCTTGTAATTTGCAGGAATATTCATGTCCCCCCAATAACCTTGGATGTTTGTGAACCCCCATTTCCCCATTCGTCCCCCCCCCCATTTCCCGCTAAGTAGTGTTTTTGTGAGTGCGCCCAACGTCATCCCCCTTGCCAAGGGCAGTATTGACTGTGCATCCTACCCCGCCACACTGCCTAGGTCCTCCAGTAGAGAGGTTAGAATAAGTTCGTACTATTTTTTTTCCTTTTTGTCTATTTTAGTAGGGGAACCCCCAACCAAAAAAGAAACGGTGAGAAAGTTGGCACCTAGCTGGGGGACCTAGCTGCTCCTTCCGCAGCATCCCCCGACCTTCGCCAACCAAGTGGCTCTGCGGCGGCCTGGCAGCGCGAAAATCTGGGCTGCTTTGTTGCAACTGGCTCACTCCAAGCCCCGCGAACAAAAGGCCGATCACATAGGTGGCCTTTGAGGGCAAATAGATGGATATCCCTGGTAGATGCTTAAAGCACCAGGCAAACCAGGAATCGAAACCCATCTATTCTTCCACCAAAACCACCAAAAAGGACACCTATGCTCGATCGCCAGTTGTAGGTTCAATGGGAAACAACGAAAAAAACAACTTTGTCTCCAAAAGATCTATGTATGGCCCGCATTGAGACACGACACCCACAGACTGGGATGGCCGATTTGTAGATCTTCCGTAGAACCCTTCAGATGCTCGCCTTGCATGCTTCCGGCGCGCAATCATAGGTTCCAAAGGAATACCACATGTTTTGTCCAGTTTGACACATACCCAAACATGATTGAACCACTATTGGTGGGGTGTTTCTTTTGCGTGACCAAAAAGGGAAACCAAAAGGGAATCTATCATTTTGGGGGAAGGGGGCGGGATAGTTTGACATGTCACATACCCATATTGGTTGAACGACATCCTTCTGGTGTCAGAGACCTTCGGTTGGCTGAACATTTTTTGTCGCCTCCCGGGAAGCGGGAATGGCCATTTCCACCCCTAGAAGCATGACTGACTATAGAGCGTATTTGTGACCCCCAACCCAGTTCTGGTGATTCTGGCCCCCTTTTGCAGTTGGTTTCTCGTTTTGCTCGAACTTGCTGGTGCTCAGTAGGGAGTGACTCAGGGTGTTGGGAATGAACCTAGAGATTCCCTTACAGGAAACCATAGGGGATGGTGTATAGGGTCATTCCAACTCTTCCGCGATGAGAACCAGCAAATGTTTGCCCGAAAGCAAACCTGGCGCTTGGACATGGGTGAAACCGTCCGACCGTCCGACCGCCTCCGGCAGGGGCTCCACGTCTCGCTTGGGCCACCGCGGCAGGGCCACCCTGCGACCTGCGCACGAAATCCGAATTCCATTTGCGGTTTCGTCCCCGGGAAGAAATGCAATACTGTGGATGGACGAAATCCATTTCGCACCACTTTGAAACCGTGAGAAACCATGGTTCCCCGGTATTTCCAAGGGAATCAGCATTCCAGGGCTTCTTAGTGTGCAAGATTTCGTCCATCCACAGTATGTCCAGTGCTAGCACCCTCCGACTACCGGATTCATTTCAGTTGGGTGACTACCGCCTATTTGGCAGTAGTCCCGCAAAACGAAAGAGAAGGCACTAGATATCCGAAACTGCTGTTGTTTCTCGCACTAAAATCCGAGCTTATATCCTTACCCCTTGCCAAGCCCCGACACGTAGGTGACACGCAGTGACGCGCAGGTAACACATAGTGACCCCATTTGAGCCATGACATGCCATGACCATGTGAGTCATATATTCTCCGTGTCATCTGTCAGAAAAGACTCAACTCAGACTTCAAACTCTTCTAAGCAAGGGGCAACCTATTTGGGCAGTTCTCATTTTCTCACATGCCCAGTGGCCATGGGAAGAAAAGGGCATCCTTTTTTGGTTGGTTCAGTTAAAAGGGGAACCCTTCCCAAAAAAAGAGAGGAACATGGGGCGCCACTGGGCAACTGGGTGTTTGATGGGAACCCACCAAACAAACACAGGCACGAAAACGGTGCCTCTGAACTAGGCAACTCCAACAGCGCTCGGGGAGCATCGACGAAAACCGTCCGCCTGAAGGATCCGACGTTGTCCTTCCTGGGGCGGTCTGATCGGACTCGGTCCTGCTGAAGTGTCCCTCCTCATCCACATGAATGAAGGTGTTCCTGCGCACCAGAACCAGCACTCACTTCCGACTTCCGATCCAGTGGATTGACCAAAGACCAAAAGCGGCTCAAGCTGGGTGGCTTGTTCCCAAAGCCGAACCAAGTCCGGGAACCCAGCGAGTGAGAAAGACCAGGCTATCATGGGGGCTCCCCCAACAGGGGATGAAGAAATGTTTGAACCAACACATCAAACAAATGCTCCGAAAGTGGGGTGGCTGTAAGTGTCCTGGGGTGCGACAACATATTTTCGTTTGCACATAGCGCCAAGATCGCGCACTGGACTGGAACTTGAAAGCAGTTTGCTTTGCGCCCAAGAGTAAATCTTAGTCTGCAGCCCAGTGTCTTCACCCGGAATCCGGGATTGGATGCATTCAGCGCCTGGATTGCGGAATCTCTGGCATTCAATGCATCACACAATCACGATACATGGGCTTGTCTCAAGAGAGGGGGGGGAATCCAACAAAAATATGGTTTCCTTTTGGCGTTCCATAATCATCAACCAGCAACAAACAAGTAATAACAAAACACACACACACACACACAAACCACATCTTAGATGCAAGCCAAGAAGCTGCGCTTGCCTCTGCTTCGGCGTCTGTCCGGCCGGCCTTTACAGTGTTGGTCCGCTGAAGAACCTGCAGCATGCGCATCTGGCTACATGCTACAGGCCGCTGGAAAAAATGAGAGAATTTGTCCGGTAGTGAAATCGATTCCCTTTAAAACCAACAGGCGAAAACAGAATTGAATATATTCATTTCAGCAAATGAAAGCTTAAAGAGACACACCCCGGGTTCACATTGAATGCTCAGTGCACAATTTAGGGATAGGCAGGATGGCCAAGATCACTCAAGGCTGTTGCAGGGAAACACAGACCCCCTCTCCCACAGACCCCCTCAAGAGTCGTGGATTTCCACAAACGTCTTGGACACGTCCCGCCTAAAACCAGTTGGAAAAGGATTGCGCCAACTCGAGGTCCGAGAAAACTGAGTTATAATCAAAACCTGGCAGAGTGGTCTACCCAAAGCCAAGTAAAGAATTCATAGGGTGGCCGCATTCATGGCTGGGACTGCTTCCTCCCCTTTTTTTAAGAGGGACCCACATCAATGATGTTCAAATGATGTACACGAATCGGTTTTGAGTGCGACTCAACTGAGGCTAGCACACACTCATCCTCAGAGTCGGATCCGGACTGCCTAGCAATCGCCCGAGCGACTTGAAGGAAGCTGCCGGCATGTGGGTGTTCCTTAACAACCAAATACCTGCGATACCTGGGTACGCCTTTGGGGAGCCCACGGCGCAAACACCTTCTTGTTTCCCCGGATACGGCGAAAACCGGACTCTCTACATCTGCAGATTTGGTCATGCCAGTCCGTGAAACCCAAGGTGCTCCTAGCTTCCCAAGGGTGTTCTCTAGCTCGCAACCAACCCTTGGCACATTTAATGACCATATAGGTGTCCTTTTAGGGGAATTAGATGGCCCTGGTAGATGATTAAACCACCAGGTAAAGGTAAACCAGGGCCATCTATTTTGCTAGCAAAGCAACCAAAAAGGACACCTATGGTTATGCCGACACTGGCCCTGATATTTTACAAATCTCACCGCAAAAACTTGCGACGCTGTCAGACTTTAACGACCCTGCCCGTCCCGAACACTCGAGACAACCCGCCAAAGAAGTGACGCCAAGACAAGCAAAACGGCTGCGCTTGCCGGAGCTGGTCAAAGCAGCGCCTGGCAGCTGCCCAAAAAAGGGCCCTCGCTTTCTAAAACCTGGGTCGAAGGCCTTAGGATCTTACAAAACGTGGGCTTGAACGGGTGGCTTTGTCTTCCTTTGGGGTTAGGTCAAAGGGAAACCGAAGGGAAGCCACCCATTTTTGGGGGGGCATTTAGAGACACGCCCGTGTATCCACCGGGCGAAACACGCCGATGCAAAGTCCGAGCTGCTGCTCCATCTTGTCGCACAAAAGGTCACCTGACGGCAGCTGCTCAACTAGGTACAAGCAGCAGCAGCAGCAGCAGCAGCACCAGCACCAGCAGCAGCACTAAAAACAAGAACAATCCAAGGAACACGAGCTGCGTAGAGGAATGACTAGCAAGCAACATAACACAAATATCACCGAAGAAAGTCGACAAACAACACTGGCGCCAGGTCTGTTTCTCTTTGCTCTCACGGTGGCAATGGCTTGTCTCCTGGCTTGTCGTGGCCTTCAGAGTTGGTGCTGTCGGTCTCGTGGACTTTGCGGCCCTTGTCAGCCTGCCATGGATGCGACCGATTTCGTGCGCCTCATCCAACCCAGTCTTTTGCTTCCATTTGGGTGGCACGTCTTTTGATACTGGTCTGCCCTCAGATCCCCCGCCAGTGACTAAGAATTAGCGGGTTGAATGAAAACTACCACTAAACACTAGGCTAAAAGATCAGGGGATGGCTGGGAGCCACCAAGGTTAGGGAACCCCAAGTGAAGAAGTCTTCCTTGAACCTTCCCGCTACCAACCTCGAAACTCGGCAAAAAGTCGAGCCACCCATTCTTGGAGGTCGAATCCTCAGGACCCGTTCCCCCGTTCTGGGCAATCAACCAGTGACTTTGGTCTCCTTTGCTTGCTCTTGGCAACCACAAAAAAGTACCTCCCGCACAACCCATAAAGACCAACGGCCAATCTTCCGTTTGCTTTGCCCCCCCGGAAAGAATGAGCCAGTAGTGAAATCGTTTTTTCTTTAAAACCAGCAGAGGGGATTTGTTTAGAACAAAAATCAAAAGAGCAAGAAACCCCAAACGCGCGCCGAAGGCTGCGCCCTGAACAAAAAGAGGTGGATTGACCGTGGTTAATCCCTCAGCGGTTCAGGGGGTTGTCTCTAAACTCTAGTTCCGCACTCAGCGCCCTTTTTCAGTGAGCGCTTGAGCCAAACGGCGTTTGCCGTTTGACAAGTCTGTCATGTCATGCAACCCCCAACCTAAACCAAAGTGGCCTCATGCAAACCTCACGCCAGTGAACACACAACTAGGCAAGTTACCATGCCTTTGGGGGCAAAGGGGTCGTTATTTCTTGACTCCCCCCTCGCCGTGTGCACTAAGGCAGGGTAAGCTTTTGCTTTGGAGCGCGATACGCTGCTCCCTGGTCATCAAGGCTTTAAAAGGATGAAGGATATTTTTGGCACTTTTAGTACTCATAGCACTGCTTTCGGAATGACTTTCTACTTTTTGATGTTGAATCGAGTATCTTCTAGCTCTTCTGGGAGGTCTGTGCGCATTCCCAGGAGCCTCAAGGCGTGATCCCACTTATGTGGAGGCAAAGCCTTGGTAAAGATATCGGCAGCTTGGAAATCGGTCTTCACATATTCAAGCTCTACTCCAGTGCCTTCCTGTAACTGTTCTGCAAGGGATGCTAGGTTAACCCTATGTGTCCTAGAAATTGATCGCAACTTCGAAGAGTGCCCTTTCCTTGCAACCAGAATAGTAGCTTGATTGTCTTCATGGATCCTGAGGGTCATTGGGCGACCCAATAGTCGATCCCACAGACTAAGTGTTGGGAGTCCCTCCTGATACAAAGAAAATGCTAACGACACAATCTCTGCTTCTGTAGTGGAACGCGACACAGAAGTCTGGCGCTTGCTAATCCATGCTAAGGGGAAATGGGAATTCGGACCTTTCAGGGCGAGAAACCCCCCTGACGTGGACTTGGCCCCCTCCTCTCCTGCAAAGTCAGCGTCGACGTAGAGCGCAAGATGCAGCTCTCTGGGATCGTCTTGAACTGTGCCAACCAACCTGTGCTTTGTGGTCGTGTTAATGTAAGCTATTAGCCTAGCCAACTGCCTATCATTATTACGCGACCATTTTTGAACGCACGTTGCAAGATCCCCGATGGGCTTGATTATGTCTGGACGTGCAAGACGTCCCAACCACAAGGCCTTCATCAAGATTTTACAAGCGGCTGAGCTCAGTTCACCTGCTTCGGCATCATCTTGTGTGGGCAATGACCCTTCTGGACAGAATGGGGTCAATGCCTTGCGGAGCTTACTAATCGGCTGATCTGAAATGGAGACATATAGATCAACAGTTTGCTTGGCGTAGTCAACCATATCAAAAGCCATTGCGTTGGACAGCGCGCCAAAGGCTGCGCTCTCGGCTGGATTAGGCTCGCACTTCGGGGCGTTAATGATGACATGATTCCTTCCCAAAACACGATATATCGGTTCTGGGGGTTCAATATCAACACATGACATCAGCTTTTCCCAAAAGGGATCATGCTGCTCTGCCGGCCCTGAAAGTGTTAGATCATCCACATAAGTGGATAGCATTAAAGCCGGTTGAGGGGAAGTAAAAGTTTCCTGGAAATTCTTGGATCTCCTCTCCGGTCTGCTCCTTCAAGATCTTCTTGAAGTGCTGCTCCCATAGCCCCCCCGCGTCGGGGTGACCGTAGAGTGCTTTTACTAGAAGGACTACCGGTTTTATAAACTTTTCTTTCCACCACTTCGGACGAAGTTCCGGCGGCAATGATATCCACGTCTGATGTTGAGATCGAAGTAGGGCCTGGATATATGCCTTTACGGCGTCTGCCGCCGTGGTTTTGTGACCTGGCAGTGAGCCGTAGGCAAGGCAGTTGTTCAAACCCTGAACGGACGTAGGGTTGGCGCCGAGTTCTTGATAAACGGCCGCCGCCCCATATTCGTCCCGCGCACAGTCCCCTCGGTATACTATACGCCCCTTCACTTTCTGTAGATGCTTTGCTAGCTCAAAGAATTTGATGGAGGCGATAGTCATTAGCTGCCCGAAGTGGACTTTAGTGTGCGTCCGTCGCGCTTCAGCAGCGACCTCTCCTTGTTCTCTCACGGTGCTGAGATCCCAGACTCCCGCATTACCTAAGCCGTCTGCCTCTTCCTTTATGGCCTGCAATGCCTCGGACGAGGCAAGCATTTCTGAACGTGAAAGAAGTTTTGTGACCATGGCGGCTATGTCGGGAGAAGTCTCCTGCTTTGGAATTCCCTGAGTTTCCCTAACGAGATTATCCAAGTCAAAGAGTTCTTCAAAGAATCTGCGGGATGTTGGATCTGATTCAACCACTGACGCGAGAGCCCCAACACCCGAAAGTGCGGAGGTATGCTTCAAGGACTGCTCCTTTTCCCGATGCTCCTCTTGCACGATGACAGCCTGGACTGGCATTGCAGGCGCGCATGGTGTTGCGACATGCGGATATAACGCACTAGCGATTATCTTACACATTTCTTGTGGATAAAAGGCGGTGCGTGCAGTGTTGCTACCTGCGGCCTGTGCATGCTTGAAGGAGTGTTGGTGGGGGCATGTCCTATTCTGGAACCCATCATGAAGTTCCTTGGATGTGGTCATGAGACGCCACGGCTTCTTGATGGGAGTCCCTTCCTTGTCAGTTAGACCTACTGCACACCCGTGGAAAGTCACTGAGTGGAAGCGAGACGCATGCTTCTCGAAGAATGCCTTTACGTCGGGGCGCTCCCATCCCTCGCAGTCGCGAGGCCACTCGAAAGTGACGTGACCCTCTTGTTCTATCACTACTTCGGCGTGCTTTGTGAACCTTGCGAACAACGCCTCCGATCTTTTAACCTGTGCACGGAGATACTGCTTGTATTTATTGCCATACTTATGGACATTTAGCCTTTGCCTGGCGACCCGGAGGTGCACGGAATGGCTGCCCACATGTTAGGCTTGCTACAAGACTGCAACTGAGCGGTCAGTTGCTCATCCCCTTCATTGGTTTCAAGATCGATGTGTTCTTTAGCCAGTCTCACGTGGGGAATGCCCAATGCTTGATGCACTGCTCCCATAGTGGAGTCACTTGAACATGCATACTCGAACATTACAGGCATATAATTTCCCCGCGCGATACGCTTGCGGGCCCTCTTATTCCCTACAGAAAACTTTTTGCATGGCTCCCTTTTGGAACATGGCATGCCGAACACAGGCAGAGTCCGAGCGTCCCTCTTGGTGAAGGAGTCGGCTACGTGGCACGTGAGTGACGTGGAGGTTGCAGTGGTTGTTGTCACCGCCGCGCCAGTTGTGGCTGCAGGCGGCGCGGTTGGAGGAATCCCCCCTGGCCGAGACGGAGCTGGCTTGCCGCGAAGAGCATCATCATGCTCTTCGGATGCCCTCAGTGCTTTCTCGAGCTCATCGGGATCAGATAGATCTGCCTTTTCAAGGCGGGAAAGCTCAAGTGCCTTTTTAAGGTCGGCATCGTCTTCTTCGAGACGTGCCTCCTTGGCTGCATGAACTGGGTCACTCGCTTCGGAGGGGCGAAGTGACCGCTCTACCTCGACGGCAGCCGAGCGCTTGGAGCGCTCCTCGGCTTTCTCTGTATCGACAAGCCTTGCGAAGCGGCGTCGACATTCGGGGGTATGGTACCGGGTGCGCCCAGTACAACCTCGACAACCTGGTGTTCCACGGAACCGAATTATCCGATCCACAGTGATGTACACGCCTCGCGGCGTGCCTGGAGCGGGAGTCGGCGGTGCAGCTACTTCGCTAAACGGAACCTCCTTAAGAGCGACTTCTGGGAGCTCACCCTCGGCTTCCCCCGTCCGCAGCGCCTTGTGGGCTGCTGCCGCAACGGGGAAGCAAGGCTCACCTTCTTCAACGAAGAGTTCTGCTTCCGGGACATCATGCACTACAATCGCTCGACGAGTCCTAAATTCTTGATAATCTAGGACCTTGACCACATGGCGATACCGAAGGCCTGCGTCAACCCTCCAGCCCAAAAACAAAGCAGGTGCCAAGTTGGGTTCTAGAGTGCGCTTATTAACGCCCTTTTTGCGGTAATAGACAAGCTGACCAAAGCAATGCCTAATGCCATCGAACTTCGACTTTGTCAAGGCTTCCCATTGGGTCTTAGCCTTGTCGAATGTTGCAGGTCTGTCGAATGACATGGAGAGGCACGCAAAGGGGTAGGAGTGAGTGTGTAGATCGTATGGCAACCCACTCTGAAAAAAAAGGATGGATCTGCAAAATTCCTTTTCTTCCCTAATGTCCCTTTCCAACTCGGCATTGTGGGGCCATCGGTTCGGCAGCGAGGTTTCGGGTGTTAATCCGACCTCATGAGCTGCCGCTTCAAGCTCTCCAGCTTCATCCATTTTGACCAGACATGTCGGAGAGAGCTCGTTGGCTGTCAAACCTAGGAAGTGCCTTAGATTTTTGGAATGGGCTGCTGTGTCCCTTTTGGATACAGGATATGCAATCCTTGTTCCAGAGAAAACATCCCTGATGACGTGGTGAGATTTAATCCCTCCGACTC